AGTACAGGAGATGACCAGAGACTGCGGACATAGTACAGGAGATGACCAGAGACTGCGGACACAGTACAGGAGATGACCAGAGACTGCGGACATAGTACAGGAGATGACCAGAGACTGCAGACACAGTACAGGGGATGACCAGAGACTGCAGACACAGTACAGGAGATGACCAGAGACTGCGGACACAGTACAGGAGATGACCAGAGACTGCGGACACAGTACAGGAGATGACCAGAGACTGCGGACACAGTACAGGAGATGACCAGAGACTGCGGACACAGTACAGGAGATGACCAGAGACTGCGGACACAGTACAGGAGATGACCAGAGACTGCGGACACAGTACAGGAGATGACCGGAGACTGCGGACACAGTACAGGAGATGACCAGAGACTGCGGACACAGTACAGGAGATGACCGGAGACTGTGGACATAGTACAGGGAATGACCAGAGACTGTGGACATAGTACAGATGACCAGAGACTGCAGACAGTGCAGGGAATGACCAGAGACTGCAGACAGTAAAGGAGATTACCAGAGACTGCGGACCTTTGGGGAGGGGAGGGGGAGCGGGTACCTAAATTTGACAGGTACCCGCTCCCACTTCCACGGAGTTGTCCTTCCTTCTTCCCGCGGCGGCTTCTGTGACAGCCGGGTGCCCACTGCGCATGCACGAGAAGCGCTGCGCTTTGTGAATGGCCCGGAGCCTTCTGGGATCTGTCATGTGTCCCAGAAGACACCGGACCATTCACAAAGCGTAGCGCTTCTCGCGCATGCGCAGTGGGCACCCGGCTGTCACAGAAGCCGCCGCGGGAAGACTGCAGCGCTGGAGCGAGGAACATTTTTTTGGGGGAAAAAAGTGCGTCTTATGGAGTGAAAATTACCGTAGTTATTAAGCCTAAAATTTTTTTACCTTAGTGCATTCCTTGCATTAAAGTATAGGATTTAAAAAAATACAGTATCTCCCAGAAGTGAGTACACCCCTCACATTTTTGTAAATATTTTATTCTATCTTTTCATGTGACAACACTGAAGAAATGACACTGTGCTACAATGTAAAGTAGTGAGTGTACAGCTTGTATAACAGTGTAAATTTTCTGTCCCCTCAAAATAACAACACACAGCCATTAATGTCTAAACCGCTGGCAACAAAAGTGAGTACACCCCTAAGTGAAAATGTCCAAATTGGGCCCAAAGTGTCAATCTTTTGTGTGGCCACCATTATTTTCCAGCACTGTTTTAACCCTCTTGGGCATGGAGTTCACAGGTTGCCACTGGATTCCTCTTCCACTCCTCCATGACGACATTACGGAGCTGGTTGATGTTAGAGACCTTGCACTCCTCCACCTTCAGTTTGAGGATGCCCCACAGATGCTCAATAGGGTTTAGGTCTGGAGACATTCTTGGCCAGTCCATCAACTTTACCCTCAGCTTCTTTAGCAAGGCAGTGGTAGTCTTGGAGGTGTTTGGGGTCATTATTATGTCATTATTATGTTGGAATACTGCCCTGCTGTGGTCCAGTCTCTGAAGTGAGGGGATCATGCTCTGCTTCAGTATGTCACAGTACATGTTGGCATTCATGGTTCCCTCAATGAACTGTAGCTCCCCAGTGGCGGCAGCACTCATGCAGCCCCAGACCATGACACTCCCACCACCATGCTTGACTGTAGGCAAGACATACTCGTCTTTGTACTCCTCACCTGGTTGCTGCCACACACGCTTGACACCATCTAAACCAAATAAATTTATCTTGCTCTCATCAGACCACAGGACATGGTTCCAGTAATCCATGTCCTTAGTCTGCTCGTCTTCAGCAAACTGTTGGCAGGCTTTCTTGTGCATCAGCTTCCTTCTGGGACGACAGCCATGCAGACCAATTTGATGCAGTGTGCGGCATATGGTCTGAGCACTGACAGGCTGACCCCCCGCCCCTTCAACTTCTACAGCAATGCTGGCAGCACTCATACATCTATTTCCAAAGACAACCTCTGGATATGACGCTGAACATCTGCACTCAACTTCTTTGGTCGACCATGGCAAGGCCTGTTCTGAGTGGAACCTGTCCTGTTAAACCGCTGTATGGTCTTGGCCACTGTGCTACAGCTCAGTTTCAGGGTCTTGGCAATCTTCTTATAGCCTAGGCCATCTTTATGTATAGAGCAACAATTCTTTTTTTCTGATCCTCAGAGAGTTCTTTGCCATGAGGTGCCATGTTGACCTTCCAGTGACCAGTATGAGAGAGTGAGAGCGATAACGCCAGATTTAACACACCTGCTCCCCATTCACACCTGAGATCTTGTAGCACTTATGAGTCACATGACACCACGGAGGAAAAATGGCTAATTGGGCCCAATTTGGACATTTTCACTTAGGGGTGTACTCACTTTTGTTGCCAGCGGTTTAGACATTAATGGCTGGGTGTTGAGTTATTTTGAGGGGACAGCAAATTTACAGTTATACAAGCTTTACACTCACTATGTCACATTGTAGCAAAGTGTCATTTCTTCAGTGTTGTCACATGAAAAGATGTAATAAAATATTTACAAAAATGTGAGGTGTGTACTCACTTCAGTGAGATACTGTATATACCTAGGTGGATGCAGCATCGATCTGATGCTGCATCTGTGCCCCGCTGGCTCTAAGGGTGAGAACTGAGCGATCAAATGACTGCTGATGGCTCAGTTCTCTCTGCCACTCTGAGCAGAGAATGGTGACTGTCAATCTCCCGCTGTCTGCTCTGCTCCCCCCCAGCACTCACTGGAGCAGGGCTGTGAAGGTGGAGGAAGCGGCTAGCTCAGGCTCTCAGCGTATTGCTGACGGGCTGAGCTAAGTGCTGTTTCCAGGCTCCTGGGTGGATCCCGACCATATGGTCGCTATCCTTCCCCAGCCAGGACTTTGTCTGTGACATCACCCAACAGTGGACTTTAGTCTGCTGTTGGCTGAAAACAAGTCACAGGAGTGCAGAACGAACTGCACTCCTGTAATACACGGGAGCTGAATCAGCAGGAGTCATTGGCCATTGCTGCTGTCAATCAAAACAAGTGATAAGAGAGCAGGGCGCTGAGTCCCGCTGTCTGTCTATAGGTGCAGGCAGTGATACTCGGGAGTGAGCCTGCACAAGTGCCCCCATAGAAAATGGCTTGCTATGGGGGCACTTGCTGGAGGCGAGGAGCCAGAAGAACTGGTGGGGGACCCAAGAAGTGGAAGTGCAGGGCTGCTCTGTGCAAAACCATTGCACATAGCAGGTAGGTATAAATGGTTTTTTTTATTTTAAGGCCTTATTCACACCATGTGTGCAGAAAAACTGATGGAAAAAAATGCGCAGATTTCACTTGCAGAGACACAAGTTTACCTCAGTTTTCATGTGCGTTCCAGTGAGTTTTATATACGTTGCAGATTCCTGCGCAATACAAATACCCATATGATACTAGTATTGTGGTGTGAATATGGCACATAGAGGACAATTTTTTCATTATGCCCTTGCAGAACGCGTACAGAAAATCTCACTTCTCTGCACCCTGATGTGAGCAAGGCCTACAAAAATGGTAGCATTTACACTCACCGACCACTTTATTAGGTACACCTTGCTAGTACAGAGTTGGACCCCCTTTTGCCTTCAGAACTGACTTGATTCTTCATGGTATAGATTCAACAAGGTGTTGGAAACATTCCTCTGATATTTTGGTCCATATTGACATATCATCACACAGTTGCTGCAGATTTGTCGGCTGCACATCCATGATGTAAATCTCTCTTTCTACCACATCTCAAAAGGTGCTCTATTGGATTGAGATGTGGTGACTGTGGAGGTCATTGGAGTACAGTGAACTCATTGTCATGTTCAAGAAACCAGTTAGAGATGATTTGAGCTTTGTGACATGGTGCATTATCCTGCTGGAAGTAGCCATCAGAAGATGGGGACACTGAAGTCATAAAGTAATGGACATGGTCAGGTAGGCTGTGGCATTTAAACGATGCTCAATTGATACCAAGGGGCCCAAAGTGTGCCAAGAAAATATCCCCCACATCATGACACCACCACCAATACCACTAGCCTGAACTGTTGATACAAGGCAGGATGGATCCATGCTTTCATGTTATTTATGCCAAATTCTGACCCTACCATCTGAATGTTGCAGCTGAAATCAGACCAAGCAACGTTTTTCCAATCTTCTGTTGCCCAATTTTGGTGAGCCTATGCGAATTGTAGCCTCGGTTTACTGTTCTAACAGGAGTGGCACCCGTTGTGGTCTTTTGTTGCTGTAGCCCATCTGGTTTGACGCGTTGTGCTTTCAGAGATGGTATTCTGCATACCTTGGTTGTAACGAGTCAGTATTAGAGTTATTGTTGCCTTTCTATCATCTCGAACCAGTCTGCCCATTCTCCTCTGACATCAACAAGACATTTTTGTCCATACAACTGCCACTTACTGGATATTTTCTCTTTTTTGGACCATTCTCTGTAAAACCTAGAGATGGTTGTGCATGAAAATCCCAGTAGATGAAGTTTTTGAAATACTCAGACCAGCCCGTCTGGTACCAACAACCATGCCATGTTCAAAGTCACTTAAATCCCCTTTCTTCCCTATTCTGATGCTCGGTTTGAACTTCAGCAAGTCATCACCACGTTTACATGCCTAAATGCATTGAGTTGCTGCCATGTGATTGGCTGATAAGCAATTTGTTACCAGGCAATTGAACAGGTGTACCTAATAAAGAGGCAGGTGAGTGTACAATCACTTTATTTTTTTGTAGGGTATAGTCGAAAAAGTCTTCAACTCGTTTTCCAAAAAAAGAACACTTAGTCGAGAAAGCAAACAATATTGCCATCATGTAATGACCGAATTTCGAATGATAAATCATCCAATGGACATAAATGAATCAGTTTTCCATTTGTTCTGTCACAAATGTGGAGTATGAACAGTTCCATGGTTAATGAGGGAGAAATACATTAACCTTTCAATTTATCATCTGTTCGGCAGCCATTTTCCAACATGTTCCTTCGATTTGCTTGGCTCTGGAAAGTAAAAAAAACTATTTTTGATTTGTGCCCATTAACTGGATGAAAAAAACGAACAAATTGTCTAAATAACAGATTTTTGAGCAATTTTTCATCTAGTGTATGGGTCCCATTAGAGTTTGACCCTAACTTAGTTAAAAAAACCCTGATAAAGTAAATTTTTTCTTAATATGTTAAGACTTGTTTTTTTTTTTACATTTCCCGCCTCTAGATGCCTCCATCTTGCCAGGAATTGTTGTATAAACCCTGCATATCATTGTCATTTCCTATTGTACACATCAGCTTAAAAATGTGTTAAAACACGCAAAAACGCATGCGTTTTCAGCCACACCAATGCAATTCTCAGGGTCTCAAAACACCCCAAAAAATTGCAGTTGGCGCAGTTTGAGCTACAAAAGAAGCTCCAGAACTTTTTGGAGCGAAGGGCGTTTGAGCGTTCAGGTGTGAACAAGCACCATAGACAATAATTGATTTTATAGGGGTTTTTTTTGCGTGAATGCAGCCTTAATGTGCGCATTACCACAGCACACAAGTGTGAATGGGCCCTACAGTGGCAGAACACGAATGTGTCCTGTTGGGCCGTATCAGGCCATGGAAGCTGACAGAAAGTTCCTGCAGGACACATGGTGCAGGGCTGAGAGAGTCCCTGGAAAGGAAGGGCGGCTGTAAAGTGTGCTGTAGATTAGTTGGAAACTCTTCATGCCTAGTGCAGGCCGGCCAGGCCGCTGTGTGTGTATTGTGTGTGGAGTGGGGGGAGGCCGTGCTCACAGCTCTCTCTCACACACAGGCTGAGTTTGTCAAGCGGAGCAGAATCAGGAAGTCAGAGGGAAAACACACAGACATGTTTGATCACGATGACATGACGGAGGGGAGGAGGAACAGGAACAGGGCCTGAATCTTTTACCTCGCACTACACATACAGCCACACCAGCAATTCCTCCCCCCTCAGCTATACCGGGCGCCGCCGATCAGGTAAGCGGTGTGTTGTGCTCGATCTTGCCGCCTTGTTGGCCCAGCCTTGCGGAGTCCGGCTCGAGTCCCAGGCAGAGCAGCCATCGATCGGCTGGACAAACTTTCCAGAGCGGAGGGGAGGAAAGAAACATGGCTCCTGTGATTGCTCTCCCCAAATCTCATCGTCTCTGTGTGTGCGGAGTGGGGGCCGCTCAGCTCTCTGTACAGATGGGGCTGATCAAGGCTGCTGCCTGCCGTAGTGTGGATTAGGGGAGGCCGGGGACACAGAGATCCGTGTATTCCTACTGTGTACATTGCTAAGGAGATCCGGGTGATCCTAATGTGGGAGAGAGAGCTGGCTCATCCTGCGTTGTATACATTACTAGGGAGAGCTGTGTGATCCCCTGTGCTATGTACACTACTAGGGGGGCTGTGTGATCCCCCTGTATACAATACTAGGGGGGCTGTGTGATCCCCCCTGTATACAATACTAGGGGGGCTGTGTGATCCCCCCTGTATACAATACTAGGGGGGCTGTGTGATCCCCCCTGTATACAATACTAGGGGGGCTGTGTGATCCCCCTGTATACAATACTAGGGGGGCTGTGTGATCCCCCTGTATACAATACTAGGGGGGCTGTGTGATCCCCCCTGTATACAATACTAGAGGGGCTGTGTGATCCCATGTGTTATGTACACTACTACGGGGGCTGTGTGATATCCCTGTATATACTACTAGGGGGGCTGTGTGATCCCATGTGCGATGTACACTACTAGGGGGGCTGTGTGATATCCCTGTATATACTACTAGGGGGGCTGTGTGATATCCCTGTATATACTACTAGGGGGGCTGTGTGATATCCCTGTATATACTACTAGGGGGGCTGTGTGATATCCCTGTATATACTAAGGGGGCTGTGTGATATCCCTGTATATACTAAGGGGGGCTGTGTGATATCCCTGTATATACTACTAGGGGGGCTGGGGGATATCCCTGTATATACTACTAGGGGGGCTGGGGGATATCCCTGTATATACTACTAGGGGGGCCTGGGGGATCCCCCCCGTATACAATACTAGGGGGCTGGGTGATATCCCTGTATATACTACTAGGGGGGCTGTGTGATATCCCTGTATATACTAAGGGGGGCTGTGTGATATCCCTGTATATACTACTAGGGGGGCTGGGGGATATCCCTGTATATACTACTAGGGGGGCTGGGGGATCCCCCCCGTATACAATACTAGGGGGCTGGGTGATCCCCTGTGCTATGTACACAACTATGGGGGCTGGGGGATATCCCTGTATATACTACTAGGGGGGCTGTGTGATATCCCTGTATATACTACTAGGGGGGCTGTGTGATATCCCTGTATATACTAAGGGGGGCTGTGTGATATCCCTGTATATACTAAGGGGGGCTGTGTGATATCCCTGTATATACTACTAGGGGGGCTGGGGGATATCCCTGTATATACTACTAGGGGGGCTGGGGGATCCCCCCCGTATACAATACTAGGGGGCTGGGTGATCCCCTGTGCTATGTACACAACTATGGGGGCTGGGGGATATCCCTGTATATACTACTAGGGGGGCTGTGTGATATCCCTGTATATACTACTAGGGGGGCTGTGTGATATCCCTGTATATACTACTAGGGGGGCTGTGTGATATCCCTGTATATACTACTAGGGGGGCTGTGTGATATCCCTGTATATACTACTAGGGGGGCTGGGGGATATCCCTGTATATACTAAGGGGGGCTGTGTGATATCCCTGTATATACTAAGGGGGGGCTGTGTGATATCCCTGTATATACTACTAGGGGGGCTGGGGGATCCCCCCCGTATACAATACTAGGGGGCTGGGTGATCCCCTGTGCTATGTACACAACTATGGGGGCTGGGGGATATCCCTGTATATACTACTAGGGGGGCTGGGTGAGCTCCATGTATATACTACTAGGGGGATGGGTGATCCCCCTGTATACAATACTAGGGGGCTGGGTGATCCCCTGTGCTATGTACACAACTATGGGGGCTGGGGGATATCCCTGTATATACTACTAGGGGGGCTGGGTGAGCTCCATGTATATACTACTAGGGGGATGGGTGATCCCCCTGTATACAATACTAGGGGGCTTGGTGATCCCCTGTGCTATGTACACTACTAGGGGGGCTGTGTGATCCCCCTGTATACAATACTAGGGGGCTTGGTGATCCCCTGTGCTATGTACACTACTAGGGGGGCTGTGTGATCCCCCTGTATACAATACAAGGGGGCTGGGTGATCCCCTGCTATGTACACTACTAGGGGGGATGGGTGAAATCCCTGTATATACTACTAGGGGGGATGGGTGAAATCCCTGTATATACTACTAGGGGGGATGGGTGAAATCCCTTTTGTATATACTACTAGGGAGATCTGTATGATCGCCTGTGCTGTATACATTACTAGGGAGATCTGTGTGATCTCCCTGTATACACTACTAGGGGGCTGGGTGATCTCCCTGTATACATTACTAGAGAGATATGTGTGTTTCTCTCTGTGTACTCTATTGGGGAGATCTGTGTGATACACCTGTGTTGTATACACTACTAGAGGGAGCTGTGTATACTATCGGGTAGATCTGTGTATACTATCAGGGAGCTCTGTGTGATCTGTGTATACTATCGGGGAGCTCTGTGTGATCTGTGTATATTATCGGGGAGATCTGTGTGATCCGTGTATATTATCGGGGAGCTCTGTGTATACTATCGGGGAGCTTTGTGTGATCCGTGTATATTATCGGGGAGATCCGTGTGTACTATCGGGGAGCTCTGTGTATATTATCAGGGAGCTCAGTGTGATCTGTGTATACTGTTGGGGATCAGTGTGACTCTCCTGTGTTATGTACACTGCTAGAGGGAGCTGTGTGACCCTTCTGTGTACACTATTGGGGAGATCTGTGTATACTATTGGGGAGATCCATGTGACTCTTCTGTGTATACTATCGGGGAGATCTGTGTGATCCCCTGTGCTATGTACACTACTACGGAGATCTGTGTGATCCCCCTATGTTGTATACACTACTATAGAGATCTGTGTGTTATTATTATTATATGTATAAACCCTGCATATTATTATTATACAGGATTTATATTGCGCCAACAGTTTGTTCAGCGCTTTACAATATAACGGGAGACAATACAGTTCAATACAAGAGGGATAGGAGGGCCCTGCTCCTTGGAACTTACAATCTAAGAGGGAGGGGAATGTTTCTCCTGTGTACACTATTGGGGAGATTTTTGTGATACCCCTGTGTTGTATACACTACTAGAGGGAGCTGTGTGATCTGTGTATACTATCAGGGAGATCAGGGAGATCTGTGTATACGATCGGGGAGATCTGTGTGATCTGTGTATACTGTTGGGGATCAGTGTGACTCTCCTGTGTTATGTACACTACTAGAGGGAGCTGTGTGACCCTTCTGTGTACACTATTGGGGAGATCTGTGTATACTATTGGAGATCCATGTGACTCTTCTGTGTATACTACTGGGGAGCTCTGTATGATCTGTGTACACTATCGGGGAGCTCTGTGTATACTATTGGGGAGATCTGTGTGATCTATGTATACTATCGGGGAGATTGGTGTGACACTCCTGTGTATACTATTAGGGAAATCCTATGTGATCCTTCTGTGTTATGCACACTACTAGAGGGAGCTATGTGATCCTCCTGTGTGTACTAACGGGGAGATCTTTGTGATTCTCTGTGCACTATTGAGGTGATCTGTGTGACCTTCCTGTGTACACTAATGGGGAAATCTGTGAGCTCCTCCTGTGTTATGTACAATACTAGAGGGAGCTGTGTGACCCTTCTATGTACACTATTGGGGAGATCTGTGCGATCCCTCTGTGTACACTATTGAGGAGATCGGTGTGATCCTCCTGTGTATACTATTGGGGAGGTCTGTGTGATCCTCCTCTGTATTCTATGGGGGAGATCTGTGCGATCCCTCTGTGTACACTATTGAGGAGATCTGTGTGATCCTCCCGTGTATACTATTGGGGTGGTCTGTCTGATCCTCCTCTATATATTATTGGGGAGATCTGTGTGATCCTCCTCTGTATTCTATTGGGGAGATCTGTGCGATCCCTCTGTGTACACTATTGAGGAGATCGGTGTGATCCTCCCGTGTTTACTATTGGGGAGGTCTGTCTGATCCTCCTCTATATATTAGTGGGGAGATCGGTGTGATCCTCCTGTGTATACTATTGAGGAGATTGGTGTGATCCTCCTGTGTATACTATTAGGGAGATCAGTGTGATCCCTCTGTGTACACTATTGAGGAGATCTGTGTGATCCTCCTGTGTATACTATTGAGGAGATTGGTGTGATCCTCCTGTGTATACTATTAGGGAGATCTGTGTGATCCCTCTGTGTACACTATTGAGGAGATCTGTGTGATCCTCCCGTGTATACTATTGGGATGGTCTGTCTGATCCTCCTCTATATATTAGTGGGGAGATCGGTGTGATCCTCCTGTGTATACTATTGAGGAGATTGGTGTGATCCTCCTGTGTATACTATTGGGGAGGTCTGTCTGATCCTCCTATATATTATTGGGGAGATCTGTGTGATCCCTCTGTGTTCACTATTGAGGAGATCGGTGTGATCCTCCTGTGTATACTATTGGGGAGATCTGTGTGATCCTTCCGTGTATACTATTGGGGAGGTCTGTCTGATCCTCCTCTATATATTAGTGGGGAGATCTGTGTGATCCCTCTGTGTACACTATTGAGGAGATTGGTGTGATCCTCCCGTGTATACTATTGGGATGGTCTGTCTGATCCTCCTCTATATATTATTGGGGAGGTCTGTGTGATCCTCCTCTGTATTCTATGGGGGAGATCTGTGCGATCCCTCTGTGTACACTATTGAGGAGATTGGTGTGATCCTCCTGTGTATACTATTGGGGAGATCTGTGTGATCCCTCTGTGTACACTATTGAGGAGATCTGTGTGATCCTCCCGTGTATACTATTGGGGTGGTCTGTCTGATCCTCCTCTATATATTATTGGGGAGATCTGTGTGATCCTCCTCTGTATTCTATTGGGGAGATCTGTGCGATCCCTCTGTGTACACTATTGAGATTGGTGTGATCCTCCCGTGTTTACTATTGGGGTGGTCTGTTTGATCCTCCTCTATATATTATTGGGGAGATCTGTGTGATCCTCCTCTGTATTCTATTGGGGAGA